TCCATACTCCTCCATCTTCTCCACAAGGATAATATGAAATATTTTGTAAAGAAGTTTTGCTCAAAAATCTAATTAAATGGGGGCAGCTAGATGGTGCAGTGGATAGAGCACCAGCCCTGGATTCAGGAGGACCTGAGTTCAAATCTGGCCTCAGACACATAACACTTACTAGCTGTGTGACCCTAGGCAAGTCACTTAACCCTATTGCCTAGCCAAAAAAAAAATCTAATTAAATGCTATCCATGAAATTTCCCCTTATCTACTAGTTTAGATGTCAAAAAAGGAAATGAGGTTAGACATGCTTGAAACCACACTGGCTTTTTTTTGGGGGGGGGAGGGAGGAGAAATCAGGATTAAGCAACTTGCCGAGGGTCACACAGCTAGTAAGTGTCTGAGGCTGAATTTGAACTCAAGTCCTCCTGACTCCAGGGCCAGTGTACTGTGCTACCTAGCTGCCCCTATACTAGCTTTAAATTTTTAAAAATTGCTTCCCTTTCTATGTGTTTGCCAACCATTGCCTTATGAATATTTCCCAGAGTTTTTTGAGGAAGTCAAAGTGAAGAGCCTTGGCCTATGCAGGCAGTTCTACTGTAACTTGACATATTTGTTTCCCCAAAGTGGCATGCTGTGCAAAATGAAGCAATAAAAACCACAAAGCTTATGGGGAAATGGAGTTAGGAGCATGATGTTCAAAAACTTCATTAGTGACACATAAAAAATGTGACCTATTAAAAATGTAGCACAGTTTTATACATGTTAAATGGTTTTTTTAAAAAAAAACAATATTACAATAAAGGGTAGTCACGTTGGAGACGTTGGACTGCTGCTATGCCTTGCCCTGGTGTTGTTGTGTTTTTGTCGTTGGTACTCGAAGAGGATCAATACATCCTGATCATGGGGTCAAGGTACTGTGGCTGCTTAGCCCAGCAGAAGCTCAGAAGGCTTTACCACAGGTCAGGCACAATAGTCCATTTAAACAAGTGGGATGAGGATGTCTCTTCATTTGCTTATCTCATAGCCCCTTTGTGCTGCCCTGTGACCTGTACTGCCTGAGCAGGCTGGGCCAGGGCCAGCTGAATTTCTGAGTCTTGGTGTCAGAGTCCACATCAGAAGGAAGGGAGGGCATGAATGAGCCCTTCTCCTCTTCTGGCTCCTCCTACACCAGAAGATATGTAATAAATATGGCACTTCTCTTTGACAAAAACCTGAAGTTTGCCTTCTGAAGTGGGCTTTGGCGGTGCAGCTTAGGAGTTATTGTGAAATGATGCTGTTTTCTCCATTCTCATGGAAGAAATCTTACAGAAGCAAACTCAAAATTTGAGTTATGCTCAAAATGTTCCCCAATATACCAATGATGTTGGAGTAAATTTTCGTTTTTTGAAACATGCATTATAGCAGAACTGACCACAGTTTGTAGACTTTGTTCTCTTCCTTTTTAAAAATCAGTACAACAGCCTCCATTTTTTTTTTTTTACAGATGAGAGAATTGTGTCTTGGAAAGGTAGTGGGATTTGCTCAAGCCTCCACAATTAGTGATACAGCCAGGACTGAAACTTAGGGCTTTCTGACTCCACGGTTCAATTTAATTTAGTTCAACAAGCATTTATTAAGCATCTAATATATTCAAGATACTGTGCTAGAAAATTAGACTGGATACAGAAAATAATAAAAAAAAAATTCCCTGCTCTCAAGTAAATTACTTACGTTCTGCTGGAGCATTACACACACAAAAAGATAAGAAAATGAAGGATAATTTGCAGAGGGAGAATACACTGACACCGGGAAGTTCTTTGTAGGGGGTGGCATCTGAATAGAGCCTTAAAGGAAAATAAAGATTTGAAGAGTCTGAGACGAGGAGGAAGAGCATTTTATGTAGAGGGGATAGCCCAGGCAAAGAGGGAGGCTGAAGATGGAATTCTGAGTCCAGGAAACTGCAAGTAAGTCCACTGGGTTGGAATGTTGAGTGTATAAAGGGGTAAAAGGTAAAACAAATCTGGAAAGTCAGACTTTGTAGGTCTTTGAATGCCAAGATGAAGAATTTGTATTTTATCCCAGAGGCAATAGGTAGCCATTAAGGATTCTTGAGCAGAGGAGTAATAGGATCAGACATGTGTTTTTGGAAGGTTATTTTGGCAGCTGTGTAGGTCATTAGAGAAGGGAGAATTTAGAAAGCTAGAGTACAGTTAACAAGCTATTATCTAGGGAAGAAGTGATGAAGGCCTGAATTAAGGTGGTGACCATGTGAATGCAGAGAAGCAAACAGATGTGAGCATCTCCAGGGGTCCTGTTAGGGATGCTCAACAGATACTATTTGTCTGTTTGTAATAGTATTAGCTAGTATGAATGCTTTAAGGTTTGCAAAAATCTTTTATAAGTATTAAATCATTTTATCTTCAAAACAACCATGGGAGGTAGGTGATATTGTTATCCCCATTTTACAGATGAGGAAACTGAGCAGACCAAAGTTAAGTGACTTGCTATGGATCACACATCTAGGAAGTATTTATCCCCTTTAAGAGATGGAATAACCAAGGGCAGCTAGGTGGTGCAGTGGATAGAGCACCAGCCCTGGATTCAGGAGGACCTGAGTTCAAATCCAGCCTCAGACACATAACACTTAGTAGTTGTGTGACCCTGGGCAAGTCACTTAACCCCATTGCTTAGCCAAAAAAAAAAAGAGAGAGAGAGAGATGGAACAACCAAAGCACAGAGAGGTTGAGCAAATGACCCAAGCTCACACAGCTTGTTAAAAGCAGAATTGGGCCTGGGCTGCAGACCTGAGGACCATGCATCAACAGAATAATACTGAGTACTCAGGAACTGTCAGCCCAACTCCTCACATTTGCTTATGGACAAGCCACACAATCTAGATAGATTTTCACAATTATAAAAATAATGCTGATCGCCCCTGGCATTTTCCAGAGGTTGAAATGAACATCTGCAACTCATTAGCACTAAAAGAGTTGGTATTTTATCCTAAAGATAACAAGGTACCAAAAAGAGGTGCTTGGGCATAAAAGTAACTTGGGCTGATCTGAACACAAGGACAACCATGTGAGTGAGGGCCTTGGAGGGTCTCCAGAGGCCAGTGTAGCCGTCTTCTGTGGTACCCAAAGACTAACATATACTGCACCCATGCATCTGAGCTTAGAATGGGACTGTGTTTGTGTGTGTGTGTGTGTGTGTGTGTGTGTGTGTGTGTGTGTGTGTGTGTGTGTATGTGATGCTGGGGTGCTTTCCCAGTTGGGCAATGGTGTTTGGAAATGGGGGCATATGGGAGCCTTCCTGGGCTCTGCCAGAAGTGCTTGATTTCTGCTGCAAACTGGAAGCAAGACATTCATATGTAGGTTCAGGCTAGAGAGCAATCCTGGAAACCTGGTCTTGCCCTATTGTATGGGCCCTTAGCTTTCATTTTCTCCAGAGATGGGAGGAGACATCAGGGGCAGGAGAGGAATCCTGCTAATGCTTTTATCTCCAGTGATAATGAGATGCTGAGATTCATTTCACCAGATTTTAATCACTGCAGAAAGAACTCTTCTAATCTGCTATCAGACACATGCTGCCAGATTCATCTTCCTAAAGCACTTCTCAGATTGCTCCCATCCCCCACTAAAACCCCTTAACTGCCTTATCTTGGTGTCCTGAAGGAAGCACAGAGCTTTACATCACCTCCTTCCCCACATACTTTGGAATCAAGGCAGACTGGGCTACTTACTTTTCTCAAGCACATCTTGCCCTCCCTTTTCTCCAAGCCTTTGCTTATACTACTCTGCCATTAGGGAATGCCTTCCTTACCCCCTCCAGTTATCCCCCTCCTCGTTTCTTGTTGAATTTTTACCTGTTCTTCTTTACCTAGCCTCCTCCAAGACACTTTCCCTGATTTTACTTCACCCATAGGGAATCCTCCCTCCTCTTGAAGCCCAAGCACACTTTGTGGCAATTTGCTTTTCCTGTTATTTCTTGGATGTAGAGAACTCCTAGTGGAAATTTTCCTCTACCAATTCGTATCTCCAGCTATTCTGAAAGTTATAGTCTTAGAAAGTTGCCTAGGGCACCAAGAGGGTTAAATGATTTACCCAGGGTCATAGGGCAGTAGGTAATAAAGGTGAGACTTGAACCCAGGTCCTACTGGCCTGAAGACAGCTCTATCCAGTAAATCAGGTATTCATCATTTGGCATATCCTCACTTTGATCAGAGTAATTTATTTCCTTATTTTATCTCCTCACTAGACTGACAGACCCATAACAATACTATTAGTGCCTTATTCCACTAATAGAATTTAAATTCCTGGAGGGAAGGGAGAGGCTTATTTTTTATATTTTTCTCCCCAGTGCCTAACATAGTACCTTGCACATTGTTGTTATTGTGGTTGAGTCATGACTGTAACCTCATGAACCATGAGCCAGGCCCTTCTGTCTTCCATTATCTCCCAAAGTCTGTTGGGGCCATCCCCAGTCATCTCGATCCCAAATGGCTCCAGTGAGGCTGGCTTGCACACCTCTCTTACTTAAATCCAATTCACTTGCAAGTCATAGTATCATCTTCCTGATGTCATGGTCCCTGTTTGAGAATGAAGGACAAATAACAACCCCAAATTTGTTCAAGCTCATGTTAGTTGCTTCCATGACTCTATCCTCTGCCACCCTCTTTTCCTTTTGCCTTCAATCTTTCCTAACATCAGGGTCTTTTCCAATGAGTCCTGTTTTCTCATATGCAGCCAAAGTATTTAAGTTTCTGCTGTGGTATTTATCCTTCCAAAGAATAGTCTGAATTAATTTCTTTAAATATTGACTGATTTGATCTCCGCCTTGCATATAGTAGGTGCTTAATTAATGTTTGTTGAATTGAATTCTACTTCTTTGAGCAAAAATCCATACATGTCTAGTGAATACTTGCTGAATGAATGAAAGAGTGAATGAATAAAAAAGAAAGAGGAATGAATGAGTGAATGAATTATTTGGTGAGTGGTTACTTACTTTTCTCATGTGATCTCTTTCAGGAAACCCCAGCATCTGGCTATGACAGACACAGTGCTTAGCAACAGTTCTGATCACTGGATGTGCCCCAATGACAGATCCATGGCCCTCCGCACAAGGTAAGCTGCTACTTATTCCTGGTTATGATTTGGGGAGAGGGCATAGATTTTTTTCTTTAGAAAAAAAAGAAATAAAGACTATCTTTCCCAGCACCTTCAAACTAGGTAGATTTTTACAGTGAGAAGTGAGTCCCAATTCCACACTGGTTGTATGACTTTAAAATGTACTTCAGTTCACTCTCAGGGTCCTAAATTTTAATCCTGGAATTCCAGTGAGAAGAAAGACCAGTATGGGAGAAAAACCATGGCCCTAGGACTCAGAGCACTTAGGTTCTAGTCTTGCTAAGTTAGTTCTTGCTACACTGGAGGATTTAGCAAGGGTCTAAGAGAGGGCAACAATGATAGTGAGGGATCTCAGTTCAGTCATTTTTTCCATCATGTCCAACTCTTCACGACCCTACCTGGAGTTTTCTTGGCAAAGATACTGGAGTGGTTCGCCGTTTCCTTCTCCCACTCATTTTACAGATGAAGATACTGAAGCAAACAGACTAAGTAACTTGTCTAGGGTCACACAGCTATTAAGAGCCTGACACCAGATTTGAACTCAGGTCTCCCTGACTCCTGGCCCAGCAATCTATCCACTGCATCACCTAGCTGCCCAAGGGACCTCAAAGTCATGTCATATAAGGCTTAGTTGAAGCATGTAGGAATGTTTAGCCTGGGGAAGGGAAGGAGTGGGATGGTGGAGAGAATACAAGACAACCACCTTCAAGTATTTGGAGGGCCATCATGTGGAAGAGGAATGAGATTTGTTCTACGTGGCCCCAGAGAGCAGAACTAGGAAGAATGGGCAGAAGTTGTAGAGAAGCCAATTTAGGCTCAGTGGAATGAAGAGCTTCCTACCAATGAGTGATCTCAAGTGAAATGGCTGCCTTGGCAAGTGTTGGGTTCCCCCTTCCTGGAAGGCTTAAAGAAGAAATCCCTGGTTGAAAATATTATAGAGAAATTTCTAGTTCAGATAAGAGTTGGAATACAGGAACTTTGAAGTTCCTCTCAACTCTGAGATTTTGTGTTACTCCTGACTTTGATACTTGTTGGCTGTCTAAGCTAGGTAAATCACTCTTTTACCCTGGGCCTCAGTTCATTCCCCTATAAAATGAAAAAGGTCAGGCTGGGTAATTAATAACACTAACAACAATAATGACGATAATAATGGGAAACAGCTAAGATCCAAGAGTGGAACCAAAAGGCCCTACAGGGGTGACATCCCTATGAACTCAAATAACAATATATTGACGAAGAAGCATCAAACAAATGGCCCAACCCAAGCAGATTTGTTTATAGAAATGGAAGGGTTTATGATACCAAGTCAGGATGAGGTTGTTGCAACCAGAAATTGCAGATGGAAGCCTGTATTTATTGGTTATTCCAGATTATGCAGGGAACCAATAGAAATGGTGTACCGTATGACTACTGCCTACCAAATATCTCGCAAGATGTATTCTGGTGGCTAAGATCATATGCCAGAAGTTCAATATCTTTCCTTCATAAACTAACAGATGACAAACCCCTGTTTTGTGGTTAATACCCTCAAGATATCTTTGAGAATTAAAGAGATGAACTATACCAGATCAAGCATATCAACACATACACATCTGTTGTCCAATCATAACAACTTGAATGACAACCTTTGAAATAGCTCTCCCCATACCAAATACTCATAACCTCCAAGCAACATAGAATGAAAATATATCAAACTATAGAAGCCTAGCAAACTAGGAATATGACTAAGATGAAGTACCGATCATTCATCTTGTCCTGTTTGCTATTGGAGTTTTCCTGAGGATGCTTTCAGTGAGCCTGCAGAAGATGAGTATAACATCCTAACACTTTCATCCAGCTACAAAAAGCAGTTATTTTTCCTGCCTTTGCAAAAGTCTATAGAGCATTCAATATGAAAGAATGATAACAGTATAGGAGCTTGTCTCAAGATCATTTCTATCTGAACCCAAGTGAGACTAGATGAGGTTGAGATAATAACAACGATAATAATAAATCAAAGTCACATGAGAACAAGATGAGGTATGTGTCGTTCCTAGCATCCTCTCTGCTACAGAAGCAGTCTCCAAAATGCTTTGGTGATCCTACAAAAGATCAGCTTACATCCCAACACTTTCAATGAAATGAATGTATGAATAAAGCATTTATTAAGTACTTACTATTTACAAAGCACTAGAGATTCAAATAGAAAAGTCAGACAGCCCTTGTTTTCAAGGAACTCACAATCTAACGAGAAAGATAACATGTATAGCAAGTTTTAGCTACAAATAAGATGGAAAATCCCATGGTCCATAGGATGCAGGGGCAAAGGAGATGGTCATGCCTCTTCTTTAATGTCATTTCCACTGATAAAATCCTACCATCTTCTGATATTGAATCACATGCCAAGATCAAGGACGTTGGTGCCAAGAACTTTCTTTTCTGTGTCTCTGGTGGCTGTGGCCCTCACACCTGCTGAAGCAGTGGCCAGGCTGTATCTACATGGTGATGATAACTGAAGGCACTGGACTAGAAACATTGCTATTCCCAAGACTCTTGGGTTTAGAGTCCTTGGTGTTTCTCTATTAGGGTCTGAGGGGAGATGGTGGTCAAGGTAGTGGCTTGAGCTGCTTGGTACCTGCTGCCTTCTGTCTCCCACTCAGAGGGTCCTGCTCTTGCAGCTAGACTGGCTCACCTTCCCAGTGAGTGACTGTTGGTTGCCAGTTGGTAGGAATGGTTAGCCCTTTCTCTATAGCAGTCACCTCCCCAGAGGGTATGCGTGAAGGCTGGGACAAGTGGTCTAGGGAGTGCTGCACCCCCAGGGCTCTTGTGCTTACACACATATCAGTCACAGTTTGCAAGCAGCTACTGCTGGTGGTGGTGAGGAAGAAGGGATCCCTTCTCAATAATAATTTGTTGATGTGTCAAATTGATAATTAAAATATGTATATACATATAGGATACACGCATATAGAATTATACACATACATATACACATATCTTTTAAAAAGCCAATGTGGGAGGGGGAGAGAAGACAACTGGAAACCAAAATGATCTTGTGGTACCACCTCAAATTATAGATAATAAATTGGCATGGAGAAGAAATCATCTCAAAAGCAAATGGCCCAGAAAACCAAGATGGCCCTTCTGCAATGCAGCACATATTCAAATGAACAGAATGTTAGTAATCTCTGGCACTCTATAATCTACTTCACAGACTATAAAAATGAAGCAAACAAAAGAATATGCATCTCCGCAGTACTCTACAGAACACTAAATTAAGGGATAATAACAAGATATCAATTTGTCCTGGGTCCATTTCTATGTGAACCACATCAAGATGAAAATTAGATAAGAATAATGATAATGATAGCAACAACAATAATATCTGACATTTCTGTGATTCTTTACGATGTGTAAAGTGCTTTACAAATATCTCATTTGATCCTTACAATAACCTGGAAGGTAGGTGCTATTATACCCATTTTACAGATGAAGGGACTGAGGCACAGAGAGAGTGAGTGACATGCCTGGGGTCACACAACTAATAAGTATCAGAGGCAGAGTATGAACCCAGGCTGATTCCGACTTCATTTTATGATTAGATTTTGTTAAAAGTAAGGTTACCTCTGAAAGCAAAGTGGGTTCCTAAAGCCTACATTGGGGTTCAGTATAATGTGAAGAGAACATCTCACCAATTGAAAAATGTGTCTCTATTAAATGACCAGTTGTCCAGAGGGTAAATGGGATTAAAGGTGAAATTTGCTTTGATAAGTGCCAGTCATTTAAAATCTCATCCATCAGGATTGCGTTAAGCCAATACGAAATCAAACAATTGCTTTCCATTTATATTGGTGTGATTCAAATAGTCCATGACCAAGTTCATGAACGTGCTCCTGAGAGCTTACCGAGCATCTTGACATTCGAAATGCCTCCAGTCACCTTTGATTGCTTTTGCTTTTTCATCAGATATTAAAATTATTTTTCAATAAATGATAATGGCTAGATAATAGCCATCCTGGATGACGCCAGAGTTGCTGCAGTGGTAATGGGTAATGCAGACATTTCTAATGTCTTTCTCAAGCAAATTAATAAATCCAGCTTTAATTAACATCCAGTTGGACACACTTGCAGTTTATGCAATTGCCAATGTCTTCATTTCTCTGCTGCTTTTGATCCAGCATGTTTGATCAGCTGATCATTTCTGAAACTGATGGCTAAGGGCATGCAAAATCCCAGAATCTCAGCATCGGAAGGGCCCTCAGAGGTCATCCCTGCACAAGACATCCCCCTATGATGTCCCCCAACAAGGGACCCTTCAGTCTTTGCTAAGAGACCTCTAGCAAGGGGCACTCCACTGCGTCCCTAGGCAGTCCTTTCCATTTATGACTCATCCTCATTCACAAGAAGTTTTTTATGGACAGAGAGCCTGGATTTGCTTCTTTGTGATGACTACACATTGCTTCTAGTCTTTCTCAGTGGAACCAAGTAGAACAAGCCTATTCCCTTTTCTACATGACAAGCCTTCCTCTTGAAGACTACTCTTATGTTCCCTCGGCCCCTCCCAACTCTTCCTTTCTCCAGACTAAGCATTTCTAATTACTTCAACCTTTATATGGCCCAATCTTAAGCCCTTTGGTCATCCTGGTTGTATTCTTTTGGACAGTCTCCAGCTAGGTGGTACAGTAGATAAAGAACTGAGTTCAAATCTGGCCTCAGATGCTTACTAGCTGTGTGACCCTAGACAAGTCACTTAACTGATATTTGCTTCACTTTCCTCAGTTGTAAAATGGGGAAAATAATAGCACCTATCACTCAGGGTTTTTATGAGGATCAAGTAAAATATCATTTTAAAAGCGCTTAACATGGTGCCTGGCACATAGTAGGTGCTACATACGTGCTGGATGCTGCTGCTTTGGCTGATTATTTCAGTTTATCAATGTTGACAGCAAAGGTGATATAGTGGTCAGAGAAACAGATTTGGTGTCAGTGGGCATGCTTTTAAATTCTATTATTGGCTTTTACTCCCTGTATCACCTTGGGCAAGTCACTTGTCTCCTCTGGCTCTTATTTCTTCTTCTATAAAGCAGGGTTGTTGTATTTGGTGGTGTCCAAGGTCCCTTATAGCTCTGAATATATGGTCTTGTGATCTTTTCCAAAGCTTTGACTCCTGGAACGGAACATAGTACTTTAGATGTGGTCTGACTAAGGCATGGACAACAGCTCTTCCTTTTCAATTCTTCCTCTTTGTTTCCCTAGATTCCTTCAAGTCTCAGCTTAAATCTTACTTTCTACAGAAGTCTTTTTTTTCCCATTTTTATTACCACTAGTATCTTTCCTCTGAGATTATATTCCATTTGCACTGTATATAGCTTGCAAGTACAATTATTTCTAAGTTTTCTCCCCTATTAGAGTGTAAGCATCTTGAGCTCAGGGACTCAGTATTGCCTTTGTCTTTCTTTGTATCCCCAGTGCTTAGCATAATTCTTGGCACATAGTAAGTTCTTAATAAATTTTTATTGACTGACTCTCATCCCTTTATTCTTGAACTTAGTCTTTCTTCATGCAGCTAACCATTGCCCAGAAGAGGGGAAAAGGTGTTGCAAATAAAATGGGCACTTCCAGGTTATGCTGGTTCTGGAGCCAGAGGGAGTCTGCCCCTATCTATATGAGAACCACGTAGTCCATTGCTATACAGTGGAGAATTACACCCCAAATTCTGGTGCTTCATGTTGGGCATTGGTAACAAGATGTGGTTCATCTCTAGGAAGTCTATGTGCTAAGTTTTTGTTCCCAAGTTATAAAATCACAGAATATCAGAGACAGAAGATTATCTTAGACATTGTCTATTTCATTCCATAGACTGGAAAATGAGAATCATAGCGAAGAAGTAACTTGCTCAAAGACATGGCACTGGAGAATGCTAGAGCTAAGACTAGACCTGAGGTCTCCTGACTCCTAATCAAATGTTCTTTCCATCATACTGAACAACTATCCTCTATCCTTGAAGCATGGAGTGCAACAGTTGGGGACTAATCAGTATTAGGTTATTTCTATATTTTACTAAAACCATCAGTCAACTGGCCGTTGCTAAATGCTCAAATGAGTGGTTGAACTAAATTGATGGGCATGACAACAATGAGGCATTATTTGACTGAGCTGACTGGACTTGGCATACCTGTGCAATTATAGTCTTGTTTTTGGTTCAGAAGGAAGTAGGTCATTACAAGTTATACTTTGTGGTTGTTGCTGTCATTAATTGGCATTACTGTTTGAAGACATTACCACTACGTGTCTTTTTCTAACCTCATTTCTTGTTTCTTTTCCTTTTCTCTCTTTTGTCGGCTTTTGGACAGTGAAAAGGAGCAGTAAGTATTCTGTGACATTTACCTTTCTGCTGACTGTCTTTTGCCTGTTTTTTTTTTTATCAGTGTGGTATGCTCCTACAGAGAGAAGACAGAGGTCAAAGAATAAGCATCTATTAAAAAAAAAGATATTTGTAAAAGTTCCCAGAGACTCACAGCATTCAGAGAAGTTTCAAAAGATTTGGCAGCTTCTTCAAAATCCTGGGGAGGGAAGCAGATGTGGGATGTGGAGGTGGGTTTAAGATTTAGTCCTTGATAATAACTTGGCCATGATTGGCAGCCAGTCTCTGAGGCCTTGATTTCTTTAGCTTCACAACAGGAAAGCTCCCTTTGATAAAATAAATGCCAAGTAGAATAATTTCTCTTGGTAATAACAGAATGATGGGCACACACCTTACAATGCAGTTTGCTGAGCACATAATTTCCATCCCAGCACAAAAGGTTATCTTGCTTTCCAATGGAAATGACTTTGAAGCAAAGGGCAGATGTGGTTGAGGGGTCAGTTTGAATGACCCAAACTAGGAAAATGGGATTATCTTTTCACATACCTACACCTTCAAAAAATGCAGAAAACACATCCAGCCTCTATATTTATTACTTCTAATTGAGCAAAACAGCAGTTCATTTACCTGGACCTCAGTTTCCTCAGCTGTAAAATAAGGGGATTGGACTGTATAACTTCTGAGGTCACTTCTGCTTCTGAATGTCTGATCTTATACTCTCTAATGATGATGATGGCAATTCATTTGAATTCAACACACATGTATAAGCACCTACTATATACACACATGTATTAAACAGCTACTATTTGCCAAGTTTTGTGGTATTATGGGAACAGCACTAGACTTAGAGTTAGATGACTAGGATTTGGTCCCAGCTTCCTCCACTTGCTAAATGTCTCTAAGTTCTCTCTGAGTTCTAGCATCCTTATCTGCACTAAAGGAATTTATGTCCTGATTTCCTTCAGGACTCAGCTCGAATGCTACTTTCTGTAGGAGGCCACAGGTTGTTAATGCCTTCCTCTCTAAGGTTACCTTGTACCTACTTTGTATATATCTTCAGTATACCAATATATGTACCCATTGTCTTTTCCCATCAGAAGAAGGGTTCAGATACCAGTTCTGCCCCCAATTGTAAATGCTCTATTTAGAGAATCCATCAGTCCGTGTATAACATCTCACATGTGTAGACTGGTTGGACTACTCTGGGACTTCTCTGATTTCTAAACCATGTTCCCTGTTGGGCAGGCTTTTTAGCTTCCTTTTGTGTATTGTCTTTCCCCATTAGACTGTGAGCTCCTCAAGGGCAGGAGAATCTCTCTGTTTTTGTATTTATACCCCCCAGTGCTTAGCATAAGACCTGGCACATAGTAGGCACTTAAGAACTGTTTATTGACTGGCTGACTGGAAAGAACGCTGGATTTGGAGTCAAGAGGATCTGGGATTAAATCTTGGCTATGAAGCTTAGCAACTCTGCAAATCTGAGTAAGCCTTTTAATTTCTCTCATTCTCACTTTCTTTATCTGGAAAGTGGGGTTAATAATAGCATCCGCCTCACAGTGTTGTTGGAAAGATCAAATGACTCCCTGCTCAGTAAACTCTAGTGACTCTATTTGACCTCCAGGTCATATAAAATATACATATAAAAATAAATTAAATGTAAAGGTCTTCATAAAAAAAAAGATCAAATGAGGTCAACTTGCAAATCTTAAAGATAGAAACTGGACCTGTGGTTTCATTGGTATGGGAACTCCAAAGTTGAGAAGACTGCCCCTATCAATTCAGGTTAACACCTTCTCTATCCATCATGCCAGGCTGTCTTTTCATTGTTACTCTAATACACATGGAAATACTTTTTGATTCAAAGCAATCTACACATATAAGATAATATTCATGGAGTGATGGATTCTTTACATAGATAATTCATAGACAGTGGTTGAAATGGTACTTGAACCAAGTCTTCTAACTCCAAATCCATCATATCATATTGATACTCATGTTTGTAAGGACTAGAGGCATTGAGGTAAGAAAAGTGGGTAGGGATAATGCCTGGGGTTGACGAAGGTGGCTTAGGTTTGTGAAAGATCACCACAAGTAAGCGTGGCCCAGAAGCAGTCTTGGTCTCAGGCTGTTGGCTACTTGTGTCATTCCATTGGAGTGTTGGAGTAAGGGGAGAGCCCCTCACCCCACCCCCAATGCAGGAAGAGTGGCTTAGAGGAGGTACCATCTCCAGATCTTTCAACCCCTTCCTAATAGACAGCCCATTAAGAGCCTACCTCACCATACAGGAGAGCTTCCAATTCAGCAAGCAAAGATTTCTGTCCAAGGTACTGTGCTAGTTTCTGGGTACACAGAGACAAGGAGTTTATATTGTATTGGGGGATATGAGAGAGAGAGAGAGAGAGAGAGAGAGAGAGAGAGAGAGAGAGAGAAGAAGAAGAAGAAGAAGAAGAAGAAGAAGAAGAGAAGAAGAAGAAGAAGAAGAAGGAAGGAGAAGAAGAAGAAGGAGAAGGAGAAGAAGGAGAAGGAGGAGAAGGAGAAGGAGGAGAAGGAGGAGAAGGAGAAGAAGGAGAAGGAGAAGAAGGAGAAGAAGAAGAAGAAGAAGAAGAAGAAGAAGAAGAAGAAGAAGAAGAAGAAGAAGGAGAAGAAGAAGAAGGAGGAGGAGGAGGAGGAGGAGGAGGAGGAGATGGAGAAGGAGAAGAAGAAGAAGAAGAAGAGAAGGAGAGGAGAGGAGAGGAAAGAGGAGAGAGAGAGTGCATTAACACCTGGGGAAGTAAGGAAAGTCTTCTCATAATGAAGGGACACCTGAACTGGTCCCTGAAGAAAACTAGGGATCTTAATAGATGGGGACGAGCAGGGAGTGCATTTCAGGCAAAGGACATTGCTTGTGCAAAGGCTCATTGGTGGGAGAGGGAATGTTTCATTTAGATGTACTTAGACAGATTTAGCCCTGCAGTTATACAGTAATTTTTCGGCTGCTGAGGAGGCAGGTACTGCCATATAAGTGAGTTTTCCAGATATTTGAAAATACAAAGCATTATTTTAGCTTAAACACTTCTCATGAAAATCTATTTAAATGTATCATTCATATTCTTGCCTTCTCAAACCCAAACACAATTTAATCTGTCCTTAATGCCTCAAGATTATCATTATGATTGTCAGTGCTTACGCAACCCATGGTCACACAGTTAATAAGTTTCAGGGGCAGGACCCAAACCCAGATCTTTCTTACCCCAAGACCAGCCTCTATCCATTATATTGTTATGCATTTAGGTGGCTCCCACATGTCTCCAAACATAGCCTTGTGGGAAGACCACTGGGCTTGGAGTCAGTCTTATCCCTGCAACTTATAGACGACAGGATCCTGGACAAGGCCTTTAAGCTTTCTGGACTTCCATTTCCTCAACTGTAAAGTTAGGATAATGACATTTCTCCTAGCTACTTCACTGGGTAATTGAGACAATGATTTTTGGCAAACTTTATAATGCTATAGGAATAATAACACTCTCAGAATCTACTGAAGTGAGTAGGGTGATTTTCCCCTACACTAAGTAGCCCCATCCCATATCACACTTGGACCGCTGAGATCGTTGAGTTGTGGTGTCAGCTTTTTATAATTTTTCTGTCGCTTTCTCTCTGTTATCTCAAGTGAGATATTACAGTCGATCTTCAATGTTCACAGGGGTAATGTTCCTAGAAAATAGTGCAAAAGTAAAAAATACAAATGGGAAATGGGGGTTAGGTTCCCATGACCATCAAAACTCTAATCTGCATATAAATCTTAATAGCAAAACATTAATTCTGATAATTTGCACTTTTCGTAACACAGTAACCATGAAATAACCCATAAAAGTGCGGCACACAAAATAAAGTTGATAACACGCAAAATACTTTTTCTCACTAGTAATTCCCTAGAATTTTGTGACCTTTCATGCTAATACTTCAATTTAAGAAAACATTGATTTCAGATAATATTCACTTTTCATAACACACGAAATCTACAATATCAAAAATACTTTTCTCCTTTTTGCAGATATAACAAATTGGCCACTTGTTAACCCCGAACCTGAGGCCAACTGCAGCTGCAGACATTCTGGCAGGAAGTTTATCTAACACCTTTATTTTCTCACTGAATCACTTTGCACTGACTTTCCACTCTTGGGCTTAGAGCTCAAAAGACTTGCACCACACTTTGGGGGCATAATTGCAATGCAAAACAAATTTTCAAAGCAAACAATTAAAATATGTAATGAATGCATGGGGGAGCTCTTTACAAGGGTAGGATGGACAAGATCAGTGACATGCCTACTAGCATACAAACTTGCATACATACCTCTCATTTATTTTTCTGTACTGTGAACAGTCTCAAATGTGCATAGTTGCCAATGCAAAAGTGAAAATGAGGTTACTAAGGAAGTCACAGGAATGTTTGAAATTGCAAAAGTTAAGTCCGTGAATGCTGAGGCTTGACTGTATTTGTAAAGTTATTTTACAAAGTTTGTAAAGATATGATGTTTGTAAAGTTATAAAGTTCTTATGAAGTACTTAGCACAGTGTCTGACACAGAGCAGACACTCCCTTCCTCTCTCCCTCATTAATTAATTAATTCTCAGGGCTGTCAATGGGCTTTCTTCTAACATACTACTCCTAAACCGCTGCTCCTAATATGCTGTGGACTGGAAAAGCAGATGACCAAGTATTATTAGGCTTATGCCTGGCACATAGAGGGTGTTAGAGTAATTATTACTGAATAGATGAAGTAAAACAAGAGTAAATAGGATCTGAATGAGAGGTACCCTGAGTCAAGTGCATGAGCCTTTGTGAAGGAACTCTGTAATATTTGTCAAATGGCTGTGATATGGATGGAAGCATTAGGCTTATTGTTTCATGTGGCCCTGGAAGGCAGGACAAGCACACAGAGAGTTAGAGCATGGCATCAAATTCCAACCCTGCCACTCACTTAGCTAGCTGTGTGACCTTAGGCAACTCACTTAACCTCTCTGAGCTTCAGTTTCTATATCAGTAAAACTATTAGATGATGTCAAAAGGCTCATTCAACTCTAAATTTTCTGATCCCATAATCCACTGGGAAGGATAGAGGCAGATCAATGGAAGAATTTCCTAATGATTATGACAGTGAAGCAGATTTGATTGCATGATTAGGTAGTGAGTTTCTTGTCAGAAGAAGGATCCTAACAGGGACTATGTGAAAACTTGTTGAGTGTATAAAAGA